CTTATTTGTTGTATTTTTCCTAAAATGGAAAGGGCAAAGGAATTTGAAAAACTAAATCAAAGTAATTGGCCAATATAGAAGATGATGATGGAAGATTATCTTGTTGCGAAAGAACTAGATCGGCCACTTCGAGGGAAAGTGGCCATGCATGTTGGCATGGAAGATCTGGAATGGGACATTCTTTATCGAAAATGTTTGGCAGCCATAGAACTATGTAATTCACCCTCAATTTTATTTGATGTTTGCCAATGTAAAACATCTTCAGAGCTGTGGCAATCTTTAGAACAATCTTTTGAGCAATCCTTTGGTGCAAATAAAATGCATGCGATGAAAAAATTATTTCTTTTGAAAATGAAAGAAGGTGCAACAATTAGAGCGCATGTGAGAGAATTTAATTCTATTTCTGCACAATTGAGGTCTCTAAAAGTAAATTTGGATGAAGAAGTTTTATGTTTCCTTTTGCTGAGTTCTTTACCTGCTAGTTGGGATACCTTGTTTATCACTGTGACAATTACAATAGGTATAACAAGTTTAATTTGAAAGATGTGGCTTCATTGTTAAATGAAGAGACTCAAATGACGTCCACACAAATGATTGCTTAATCAAATCAAGCATTGGTAGCAAGAGAAAGAGGAAGAACACAACATACAAATCAACCCACTGGATTTACTAGGGGTAAATCTCATGGCAGAGGCAGCTCCAAGTCACAAGGCAAGAAGGTTACTCGTTGGTACTGTAAGAAACCTGGTCATATAAGGAAAGATTATTATGCTTTGAAGAATAAGCAAAAGGCAATGAACAATGATGGCCATGCTAAAGCAAGTACGATATTTGATGCTAAAGATGGGGTTACTTTTAGTGTTGCATGCACACAACATTGTCTACTAAAGATAGTTGGGTCTTGGACTTCGGAGTTTCATTTCATGTTTTGGCCCAGATAGATCATATTTTTCATCTTACACAGATGTGGATGGTGGCTTTGTCTATCTTGGTGATGATCGAGCTTGAAAATTTTGGGCATTGAAGATATTCACATAAAAATGTATGATGGTATGGTTCATACGTTTGAAAATGTAAGACATGGGCTAGATTTGAAGAAGAGCTTGATTTCACTTCCTTCTCTCGATATGGAAGGCTACAAATTTACCGGGTAAGGTGGAGTGTTCAACGTTTCAAAGGGGGCTCTAGTGATGATGAAAGGAGTCCAGGAAGGAAACTTGTATAAATTGTTACGGAGCACAGTTATAAACAAAAGGGTAAATTGGTTTGTAGAAGAACAAGAAGTTCAACAAGGGCACATGGTTTGGCAATGGAAGAACTTGATGGTACCAAGCAAGTTCTTCACAAGGATAATTGGCAAGACTTAGAGCTCTTACGAGAGGATGTGAAGCTGAAAGGTTCCCACGAATTTCCTTTGAACCAATGTTTAGAATTTGGTGAAGGAATGGCCGATGTAATTGGAGTGTTGCATCCAGTGATTTAAAAAGCGAACCACCCAGTGCCTAGGCCGCCTGCTAGGCGGTTTAGAAGGCCTGGGCGCATCGCCTAGGCCTAGGACACCAAATTAGGCAGGATATCCCTGGGCACCCTCCTAAGCAGCCACCTAGGGCATGCGCCCCGCCCAAGGGCGGAAATGCCACTCATTGAAGGCTTTTTTGGTATTTTTTTATTACTAGAGGGGCAAAATTTTGGGTTTTAGGTATATTTGAAACCTAAAACCCATTACAACCTATTTTAGAGAGAGAAAAACCCCAAACAACTAGGTTTTGCTAATTTTCACAGGATCAAAGGTTTCTAAAAATTACAAGAAATTGATCTACGCATCACGCATTGATATTAAATTTAGTTTTGGACGTTTTATAAATCTATTACAGGGTTATTTAGAAGATTTTGAGTCCTTAAAAACATCTTAGAGGTGAAAGTTTGGAGATCGAGCAATCAAAGTTAGTGATTTTTTTTTATTGCTTGTATTATTTTTGAGATGTCATCTTGGTAAATTTTAAGTTTTAAATTATGTGTGGGGACTGTGGAGTGTGGACTATTAGACTATGGATAATTGGATATGAACTAATGATTATCGAGTATGGAGGAGTGTGTGCTATGTGGACTTGTGTACAATAGATGTGCCCTAAATCCCTAATTCTTATGTGTTATACAGTTATACTGTTAGACTATAGAGATATTTTTCTTTCTATCGGGCGCCCACCTAGGCGCTGGGTGGAGTGGACCGCCCCGGCCGCCTAAGCGCCTCCTAACGCTTTTTTAAACATCGGTTGCATCTCACTCTGTAATTGCCATGATTTGTATGACATTTATCATTTCATTTGTTTGTGTTTTTCTCGATTGGCTTTATTTAGCCTGGGAAGAAATTGTTGGAATGAAGTGAATTGGATACATCAGAATTTAAGAAGTATGAACATGGACTACCTAGATTTCCAAGGCTTCGTGGGAGAGATTGATGCAAAGGATCTTTGTGATATGAGATCAACCACCGGTTGTGCTTATAGGTGTATAAGCAATGGTTCATCTAAAGCATGTGTGCATGCAAGATGGCCACCCCAAGAGCTCCAGGATGAAAGTGTTGAAGAAGGTGGAGTTTGTATGAGAAGTACAAGCATGAAGCAAGATGAGCAAGGTATACTCATGGAGGTTATCGAGCTAGAGAGCTCGCGGCATTGTATAAATTCTCTAAGTTCCTCAAGAAAAGAATAACCTGATATGGATGGAGAATGGTGAATTGGTGGTTGTTTTAAAGGCTTGGTGATTTGTTTTCAAGCGGGGAGATTGCTATATATGTGAAGCCAAATCACACGTGAGTTTTGGGCTTCATTTATATATCTTTTCTTGTTGACTTTTCTTCCATTATTCAAGGCCATTGGATTGGCTTTTGATCAAAGGGCTAGGGTGTATTGAGAGTCCCATGTTTAAAGGGGGCTCTTGTTCTTCGTTTTAGAGTGAGAAAAAGAATTAGAGAAGGAAGAAAAGGAGGGAGCACAAGGTGGGCTCTGCTGTGCTCTGTTTTGCCCCACTTTGTAGAGAGAGAAAGTGGGAGTCTTGGGTCATTCACTTGGGTTTTGGGACCCTGCTGCTGGCATTATTTTAGAGAGAGAGTTTCCATTTGTAGGATCTTTGGAGCCCTGTTTTGGGCCCTATTTTGTGAGAGGTAAAGCTGCTGGAAATTGGAGCTTTGGACCTCAATCTCTCTTGTAATCTTCAACAGTTTAGTAAGCAAAGCCTTGCACCATTCTCCCGTAGATGTAGGCCGCATTTTGTGACCCAACCACATTAAATCTTTGTGCACTGTGAGTTGTTTGTTGCTGTATTTTCATTCCTTGATGTTCCTTTGATGCTATGTTATTTTCATTGTTGTTTTATGTGATTTATGATGCACAATAACTGTTAGTTTGACAAACCCGTGCCGTAATTCCACCACAATTGATCACAATAGTAACAGTTATGGAGAGCATCATACAATGAAGAAAATGATTGATGAATAAACAATAGGCCAATTATGTTACAGAATGGAGTTTCAATGCTAGCAGTGAAATGATTTGGATTCTAATACATCTTATTCAAATTATGCAAGAGTCGAATAACAACATAATCCTGGGACATTCAGTAAATATGAACAAGTACCTCCATCCATATAACTCCCAAATTCATCATTTTGAGTTAGTTCATAAAATACAGCAAACAATATACTTAAGATGATAATAGGAATGTATTGGAATAGCAGATTTCTGATCCCAGGGCAGTCACACGTGACAATTTGATGGAGATCAAGAATTGGGTGTTTCAAAAATTTAATTTTATTATTCTACATTTCATTGATGTGAGTGTACGTTTTATTTTTATTAGCATTCAACTTTTAGGAATTATAAAGTGAGATTAATCTCCGACACTTAGTTTCCATTTTTTTCCTTTGTTTTACTATTCACTGGCTATTATTCATAGGTTACTGTTCACATGGGAATTTCTGAAATCTTTAATATTTGTTTAGGGTATATTGGAATTAGAGCTCGGTGGATGACATGGAGATGTGCATACAGATTTATATGTGACCGTCGCATACCTATAAAGCTGAAAGGGAAGTTCTATAGGACAGCTGTATGATCAGTCATGCTTTATAGAATAGAATGTTGGGCTATCAAGAAACAACATACCCATAGGATGAGTGTTGCTACGATGAGAAAGTTAAGATGGATGAGTGGCAAAACAAGCAAGGATAGAAATCAGAATGCCTATATTCGCGGGGATTAATGTATGGCTTCAATAGGTGATAAAATGAGGGAAAATAGATAGATGGGGTGGCCATGTGCCGTGTAGGCCATGTGCCGTGTAGGCCGAATACAACACCAGGTTACGATGTGTGATTTGGTTCATGTGGAAAGCTCTAAAAGGACAAGGGGAAGACCTAAAAAGATATGGCTGAAAGTAGTGAGAAAAGATATGGTGACTTATAGTCTTACTGAGGGAAATGACCCTTAATAGAATAAAATGGTGGAACATGATTCATGTAGCCGACCCCAAATAGTTGGGATAAGGCTCAAATGATGATGATTATGAAGGGTATTTTAGAGTTTTAAATTGTTTACTTGGATCTTAAGTTAATTCTTATAAAATGCCAGACATCACAATATGAAATGCTTAAATATTGCAATGAATTTTCTTTTATAAAAGAAGAAAGTTCTTCTCTTAGCTTGATTTACAACCATGTTTTTTTATCCATTATTGCTGATTTTGACTTGCTTGAATGTTGGGGAAAAAGGTGGATTTAATTTCCCACCTTTCGTTCCCGCATCACAATAAAATAGATGGTGGGCATCAAGACATAATAATTGCTTGAAAAGGAATTTATGAATAACAAATATGACAAGAAGTTTCGCACGAAGATCACTATTTTCTTTTAGTGCCAAGAAGAACGAACAACTTAAAAGCAACAAAAGTGACATTTTATTTTATGTTTCAAGGAAAGTAACAAGTTACCAATGAGGTATTACCATGGACTCCCATTGATATGATAATATTCCCATTTTAACCTGTCTAGGTAAGAATCATCTGAATGTGCTTTCAACCATGCTCGTAACACAGGATTACTATGCCATACCTGAAAGTAAATTAGAAGTGATTCTATTAACCCAAAGAAAATATCAAAATAGCATAAAAAATATCCAATTTACTTTCAATCTATATCCCAGAAATCTGGGAACATGAGAAATAAGTAGCAACAAAGAAAAAACACATAAAAGAATAATAACTAAGAAGAAGAGCATTGAAGTATTAATTTCCACTACTTACAACCTGTTCGTAGAAGATATCATCCATGATTCTAGCAGCTCTAATAACAGACACTAAAGCCTCCATGTCTCCTTGAGAAAGCCCAGTCTCCTGCATCAAAGTCAGACAAGTACAACAGCTGCATCAAATAAAGTACACTAGGAGCAAAATAAGGCCTTAATAATCTGAATGATGAGATGTCAATTTTTCACAATCATACAAGATTAGCAGCCTGAAAACCATAATGAATTCAAGACTAAATACTTAAGCAATTCTTGCAAGGATCCAAATGTTTTGTTTTGTATCATACAGAGCTGAATGAAACCTCCTAAAAGCGCTGATATATTCATGCAAAAGAACTAAATCCAGCAAAGATTAAACAAAAAGCCCAGGTTGGGCAAGGAGGCTGCCCAATAGCTCGCAGATTGTAACCATCATCTGGTGTAAAAAAGGGATACAGGGGCAGAGATGGCCATATAGCAAATGAATGAAATAAAGGACATGTGAACACCCATTTCAAGTTCGTAGCCAGCAACTGTAAGGAACAATGAGAGTTATTATCAATTGATTTACTGCAATTAATTCAGCCTGATACTATCAATACAATAATGTAAAAGAAATCCAAATATGCAACAGTAATAAATCTTTCTAATAGAGCATGGAGAATGGACAACAGGTAGCAAAAATGTCATCTAAAGCAACTAGCAAATCATTGGAGACATACATGGAATTCGCCACAACTTGCTTCTCCTTATGCATTGACTAAATAAAGGGTCAATCGGATATTAAATTCTTCTTTTAAATGTATAAGTTAAAGATGTATACAGAGACAAATTATGATCATAAAAAACACCTGGAGCCCCAACCGCCTTCTATTTATAACAATATTTGTCAAACCATTCACCACTGAGTCGGCATATTTATGTATAACAAGCTATCTAGGAAAGTGCAGAATGGTTTAACTCCATAACTAGTTTCGAGGGAACATCCAATTTGATATCTATATTTCTACAGCCAGTCATGAGAATAACATTCTTACTATTGTACATCTTCAACAACTAGGCAATCTACTAGCGAATGCGCATCTTTTGTGTACGACATTGCAAAGGATTTTAGAACCTTGAACGACATTGCAAAGGATGAAATTGATTTAGTTAATTCCTTATAATGAGGAAAACCAAAAGTTATTAAAGAAATGCCACACAACATTACCAATTATGAATGTCAGCAACATCTCCACTTCCACTTAGAAACACATTTATGTTCTATGTAGCCCAATCATGAGTGTTCTAAATAGCTACTGTACAAGGTAGAAGAAAATTATCAGTTACAACGGTTGGCAAAATATTCCTATGACTATGAGATAGAAAGAATCTACTCGTTATGAAATGAAGAAAGACTTGTCCCACACCACATATGAGCGTTCCTGTTTTGTCAGACGTGGTCTCGCCAATGCGGTTGTTGTTTGTTCCCGACCGACTTTCGACCCGTTTTTATACTTATACAAATACAAAGAAGGATGGTCGTTAGGCTGGGAAAACATGCAGCAATTTCCTTCTTTCAGAAGCCACTAAGAATATATTATTTTGTGCACTCCCAGAATTTCCAAAGAATATACTATTTACAAGACGCTTTACATGAAAATTCATAAGATTCAATTTTATACCTAGTAATCTGAATGTGAAGGATCCCTGAGAGCAAGTTGAATCGTAGGAACAAGACACAAGGCCATTATAAAAGCTTCGAGATAAGAGGATCCATTTTCCCATGCCGACAAACATGGGGATGCATAAAATTTAAAGCAAGTCTGAAACCATGGACCTCTTAATCAATAAATGCTAGAGGTTGTTGTAAAACAGCAAACTGTTCCAGTTTTTACAAGAAACACCCATCTTCTATTTCCAGATTTGTGTATCATCCTTCAAAAACTTGACGTGACTTGCATGATAAAGACAAGTTTGTAAAGAAATGCAGCTCACTTCGCCTCCTTTCTTCATGCTGAGCAACAGTGGTTCCAAAACATAAGTCCTTCATGAATTTTGCCTTTCACCCTTATCGTTTCAAGTTCTTCCTTCTCTTCCCCTCCCCCCTAGGGGGGAACAAACCACCTCTCATACCTCTTCCCCCCAATCACTCTCTGTTAACATGCCGTATCTGCTTCATCCCCCTGATAGAGCTCCTGCAGGCATCACACCCATAATTCCCAGTCACAGTCCTCTCCCTTATCCCAAACCATCCCTCCAAAGTTCCAACCGAAAAATACCTTGCCAGTCAACCCTGCCCAACCTCCTCAACAGTCACTCCACCTACCTCTGCAACAAACATTCTCCAACTCTGCTCCATCCCTCCCCCTCATACACCCACACCAACTTTCTTCCGCTTCTCCTTTGCCGCAAACCCACGTTCCTTTTCCCCCCTCTTTAGCAGAACTATTCCCACCTTCTCAAACCTCATAATCCCTAAGTACATCCAAGGTTCCCAACCTTCATCTTCCCAAAACCCTTCCCCAATAGATCCCAAACTGGTTCCTTCTGAAACCCATGGTCTCATATCCCCAACCTACTCTCTCAACCCAAGACCCTGCCAGAATAAGCTATATCCTTATTGTGGGAAGCCCCCGGCACAAAAATTAGGCTTTTTGGAGAATTCCTCAATCGCTGAGTTTAAACCTCCCAGGCATGATACCATGAACATCGATATGGGCCAACTCCACGTGGAACTCCAAGAGTATCACTTTGTCGTCCACTTTAGAATGGTGAACACTTGTTGTCTTTTCCCTCCAAACAGATGAGGACGCAGTGGCACTCCCCAAAGATCTATTTTTAGGAAAGGTAAACTATACCTATAGCTCTGGAGCCCAGGTTTTTTGGCAACCATCCGCCATCATGTTTAGGGCATTCCATCCCACTGATGTCATGTTTATGGCATTCCAACCCACTTGTGTCACCTGGCTGTCTACAGATCTATAGATGACTTCTGTGAAGGCTTCTTGAAATACAACTCAAGGATCTCTCGAAACCTCCCCCTCGACTTTGACTCTTTAATAATCCATTCTCCCTCATTAGAATCCATGCCCAAATCCATCTCGCTCAAGTTTGGGTTTCACTTCCACTAAGGACCTCCCTACTCCATCAAAGCATAGTCTAGTGCCTTGGACCATGGTGGTCTACAGGCAACGCCACAGCCACGAAAGATATCAGGCGACAAGTGGATGATCATCCGATGGCCCTCCCACTGCTGGCTCCGTTCCTATCTCTCAGACGAAGCATCTGCTCCATGCATCTAACCCATCCTTAATGCAACAATTAATTAAATGTTGCTTCCCATTACCGTTTCGACTAGTGCAGTTTTTGAGTGGCCCTCTCCTTATCCTACAGCTCTTTGCTTGCCTAATCATCTGTCACATCCAGAAGACTCTGGTCATGTTGATCTCTCTCTTGCTCTAGTTGTCCCATATCATTTCCCAAGACCTATCATCTCTCATTTCCCAAGACCTATCATCTCTCATCATCGTCAGCTTCCATGGTTCCCCCATCCATCGCTATCTAGAGTATGGAGATCAAGGTGACCATTGCGGTTTGGCGACGACACCTTCTGACAGATCCGACCCCGAAGAGCATGCTTCTTTACCTTCTTCTTCCTCTCCCTATATCATATAGTGGCCGTCATTACACAAATGCAATTGTCACATACGGCCTCAGTGCTCAGGTGCCACGTGGCTACCAATGGGGAGGTCTTAATCCTTGAGGAGCACCCTTCCTCTGCCATGCCTAGAAAAGGACCATCTTTTGTTGTGCCATGCCATTCATTAGTTAACCAAACATTGATTGCACTGCCTCCCAGTTCTGACAGTTGTCCCTTTGAGCCTCTCACTCCCTAGGCTCATTCAATGACCCCGGCTCCGTTATCCCCCTCATACCCCCACTGTCATGCCTTACAATCCACTCGAAGAACAAAATCTTTCCTCTCTAGGCTCACCCCCTTGTGTCAACCTTTCTTTTCCTTCGGGTGAAGAACTTCTTTACCATCCCTCACCCTCTCCTACCCCCCCCTTGAGCCCTCATGCCAACTCTCGAAGACAATAGACCCAAATTTCTAGCCACCTCCTCCAAACCCAAGCCCCCCACCCACGCAACGTAAGTGAAGAAAGAAGTTTATGAAATTGCTTAGGTTGCAAAGCAACAAGATCAGTCCCAACCTTCAACCGCTTTCGCAACACTTTCAATTAGCTTCGACAGAGTTGTTTAATACTTACTTTCCACATTGTTGTTGTGCGCTAAAGAAGATTCCAAGTTCTTTTTTCACTTTCTCAGAAATCATATATCTCATGGCCCACAATTTCCTCTGTGCTTTTTCCTTTCTCACCACCTCCCTCTTTCCTCACAATGCCCAAGACTTCAAATGACTTAATGCCTTGGTTCCCCTATCCCCAGAAATGGTATCTGTCATCTCCAATTTTCATCTCTCTGGGATTGTTCTTCCTCCATATATTTCTCCGATGCATAATACTTTCTTGCCTCCACTTCCTCTCAGCTCTCATCCCTCTCTTTTGCCACTCTCGTCCCTCTAAGCCCTTCAACTTGGCCTTAACCCCCCTCAATTCTCCCTGCTTGATTTGTCTCAAACCAGAGCGTTTGCCTCCAAGGGGGGTGGTGTGGAGTATTTCCCCTTCACCTTCTTCCCTTTCTTCCTCTTCTTTGTCTCTCACTTCCCTAATTGCCTCCCCCAATCTTCTACCACTGTCAACAGCCCCACAATGACTCCCCTCCAATCCCTTAGTCCCAGAGTCTTTCAATCTAGCATGTGCCTTGGATTGCTTCTTGTCCTCGGTCGTTAATGCTCCAATAGAAGACCAGGTTCAGCCCTACACCTCATTGCAGCAAGCCCTAGGTGGACAACACTGAGCTTCAAAGGATCAATAGAGAACCTCTAATCAAAGAAATACTCAAGCCATGTGTTTCTCATACAATCCCCTCCCTCTCCCCATGAGCGAACATAGCTAATTTCCATAGGTCCAAAGCTGGAAAGGTAACAAGTGAGTACTCCTCCAATACAATTGTTCTGCAATAATTACACAAGGGTCTGATACCCAGTTTCTTCCCTTCAGTCCT